GAATCTATCTCATCCATATGTTCTGTTACCATTTCAGCTGATCGCCCCGGAATTTTGCGTAAAACGTCGATAACGAGTTTTAAATTAGGTTCCAAGATTTAAAAAAAATATATATATTTCTGTCAATTATAATCGATTCCTTGCGCGTTTGACACTGTTGTCTTTTTTCCCGAAAGTGATGGCTGTTAAAACAATCATCCTAGCCATCACAATATGCCATGAATTATTAGAGCAATTCAATAATCTCTTGAGTCTGATTCATCAAGAATCCATTAAGTGGGCTCGGGGTCGTAGGCTCTCTATTGAGTGATCGATTTCTTGTTAAGGTATTAAAATACATTCTAACAATATCCTCGTTTAAATATTTTGTAAGTGTAAAATTAACAAACTTAAGACATGACCTATTCCCTTATGGTCAGAAATATTATGACTCGCAAATCTTCGTTTTAACTTACAATGGGTCGCAAACAATCTGAATAAAATACAGATCTATATTTCGTTTCGTTTTTTTATACTTTCGATGGCCTGCACTACATGAAGATCTGACAAGTTATAGCGATAGGTCACGTCAGGGGTCAAAAGACCGACTTATGACCCTATGACGTCAGACATTTGATTAACCAATCAGCATTGATGTTACTAGTGGATTACCCACAGTTCCGTGAAAAACACGCCTAAAGCTCGCCGTAAGAGACCGTTTCACTGGCTTATCCCTGACACCATTCAGAACACGAGTTAAATAACAACTCTTCCAGATCCAAGTGTAGTAAAGACAAGTAAAACAAAATTTTGAACTATAAAAACGAAACAAAATAGGATCTGTGTTTTAACCAGATTGGGTCACAAATGTATATGAAACTTCTAAAACCTTGCCACAAGCTGTGTTTGGAGTTTTCGACGCTTATTTAAATCCTGTCTGAGCAGGGAGCGCTGAGTCGCTAATCAAGTCTCAGTCGTTCCTGATGTTGACTGAAGTTCTTCGGAATTTTCCGGTGTGGTCTCCCCTTGGTACAAGACTAAGGACCTGGCAAGAAACAATGCCTAGTTGTTCTGATGGGACGAAATAACGAGGTCCAGTGTACACATTGGCATGCTCGTAAAAGAACCCTTGACAGTTGAAATTTGAAATAAATGTAGGCAAATATTCCATCATAGGGCACTGCATGGCGTGCGCCCGTCTTCATGAACCCAGTCGGTGAAGAAAAGAAAGTCAAACACTATTGCATTTCAGTTATCTAAGCCATAAGAACACCTGCCTATTTCATATCCATATTTCTTTCAAATCTTTAATTATTTTGTTCATATATCGACTAACATTGTATATCTACTTGGGAAGGCATTTCGTTATCTGTAATTCTTGTAAAATAGTTGTCATTATGGAGTTAGTCGATAAAGTATTACACTTGCAACTCTATATATTGATCGCTACGAAAATTAAACCTATTATCAACCAATCTTTATATTATCTGATAGAATCAGGTTTTACTGTGTGAAATCCGCGTAGCTCTATATTTACATGACTAACATGCCCTAATAATACGCATATGTTAAAGAGGCATTAGGTAAGATAAAAATAAAAAGCTGGCAGCTCTCGCTAAAATAGTTTAAGATTACTTCAATGCTACCGCTTGTTCGATAACTGCAAAACCTATTTAAATCGGGAGTTGTTTATAGTCTTGGTAAGTTAATTAATGTCTGATTGATAATGTAAGTAGTAGTTATTAGCACACTTTCCGAGGTGTATCGGTGAATATCAGGACAGTTTTGGTCGAGGGGCCCAGCCGACCAAAACTGTACTGATATTCACCGATACACCGAGGAAAGGTGCTAATAAGTTACTTTCATCACATTTCTATCGAGTATTGTGAAGCAAAATGTGAAAAATGGTATTTATTATCGAGTCGTTTCAACCGAAAAGTGACAAATACTTGATAGGTATCTAAAACGGTATAAAAGTATCCGTGTATCAGAAATGAACAGTACTCTTTCTGTACATTTCTGATACACGGATACTCTTATGCATGTATTGCAAATAATCAGGACAGTTTTATCAAAGGTTGCCAGTGGCAACGAGTAGAAGTGGGATGTAAATAACATTACATTTAAGGCCTGAGGAAAGTCCTGTAAAAGGCAGATTTAGCTCTTCAATAATGGCTGTTTAATAAGCTATTTGAAATCAAATAAATAAATATACCACAGTTTTTAGAGAGAATTTGGAGACAGATCTCTTAACTGCGTTGCATGGACCGGTGTTGAGATTTTACTATAAGTAGTAACTTAAACGTCCCGATGTAGTAACTTGCCTCAATAATAAACACATATTGATTGGTGGGACGATTTACCCAATACTACCCAATACCACCTCAATATCACCATATACTACAACATAATGATGCAAAATAGACATATCGCGGGAAATGTACTTCAAATGCGATACCGATATCTGAGTATACTGGAGACAAAAACATAAAGCTGTACAATCAAGAGAGAGAGAGAGAGAGAGAGAGAAAGTGTGGGGGGGGGGTAACATCTACTTGGCACAAACCAGGTCATTTTGGGTACTAACACATGGTTCAATTATATTTCAATAAATCGCTAGCGCGTAGAGGTCTTTAGCAGTTGGAGGAAACAGGGGGACCCGGAGAAACCCACGAGGCTGGGCAGGCGGCGATTCGAAACCACGCCACTTGACTCAATGACAGGCATTATGATCAAACGCGCACGCGTTAACCATTCGCCCCCCTCCCCACAATCAAACGCATTCTTATTGTGGATATGTAGTAGACGTAGGAACAGTACCCAATATGAATCTTACACAGTTCTCGGTGATCTTTTTAATACGCCCAATTTGAATTGAAATATCTTGTGGAAGCTCTAGAGGCTAAAGTTAATATACGATTGACTTTAAATTCATACACAGTGTTTAAGATCATGTCCCTTGATCACTTCAAAATATCTTGTGGATGCTCTAGGGGCTAAGGTTAATATCCGATTGACTTTAAATTTATACACAGTGTTTGAGGTCATAAGACGAAGTATCCTATTGATTTTCAACGATTTCTGATAATTACTGCAAAAGTTATGGTCCTTGATCACTTTAAAAAACTTGTGGACGCTCTAGAGGCTAAAATTATCACCCGATTGACTTCAGATTGATACACAGAGTTTAAGATCTTGAGACGAACAAGTATATTGACTTTCAATGAATTTTTATGACTTGAACAGCTAAATCCATGATATTAAAAGTTTCGTATATTAAATGTTAGCATGGGGCAGAACTTTATAAAAAACAAATCAATTCTAATGGTTTTCTGATAATTACTTCATGAGTTGTTACTCTTAATCAGATTTTAGTGTATTATAAATGCTTCATTACCAAAAAAAGTAAAAATATGCGACAACACTTGTTGACTGCCCGGACGATTTGGCTGCTGTGGGCGTATGTTTAGTTGCCTGGCAACCTATCTTCTCACTGACTAAAAAATTTAAATTTGGTTGTCTAAGTTCTTTGCTCCTTTATATGATGTTTTGAGCTAGAAAGATCAATGTAAACAGTTTTAGATCCCAATTCTGCAAGTCTATTGCCGTTTTCGTGACAACCAAATTGTAATGGTTCATATCATGAGTTCTGAGTTGAATTGCTTCGGTCCTGATGTTTAATTATCTTGCAATGCCCAGTCCCTTTATAACAGTTGCTCAGTGAGTATGGAGCTGACTCACTAACCAGTGTGTCCCGAGTTCGATCCCAATGTTGGCCGAGAAAGAGATCTGAGATTTTCCTGCTGCCCGGGTAAACTTTTCCTCATAGCACACCGTATGGTATATGCCCGTCTTCATTACCCTGACTGGCACAGGAAAGTAGGACGTTAAACCCCATTTCATTCCACTTGTGACCAAAATTCAGTGTAACTGTCTGGATAGCCATATCTATATACTTGGCAATCGATAGTCGCGATTATCAAGCCAATCATTACAATTAAACCAGTAGAGGCAAGTTAATGTTTTGATTTGACATTTTCGGGAACAGAGTTATAATAGGGTAAATAGTCACATTTTGGGGTTTGACGACATGGCTAAACTCATTTTTATATACGTTGTGTTTAGAAATCTGGAACTACCCGTTTAACTTGTCAGTAATATAGGCCTATGTGTTGATATATAAACATTCCAAATAACTGAATAGTCTACTACTACGGTAACCACTCTGTTAATAAAAGCTGATTTTGTTTTCATTAATCTAACAAAATTGGAATGTCTCTGTTGCAAGATTATATCGCAATCCATCTGTGTTTTGTTAACCGTCGACACAAATACACTATTATTAACTAGTATTTCCTTCAGGGCAAGTGGTAGTCAAAATGATCTAGTCTGGGGATATTTTTTCACTCGGTCGATATCAACGGAATCTGTCCCGTTCTAACCCAGATTCACACGAAACTATTATCGAACAGAAAACCAATTCTGGGGAGTTCTGATAAATTTCAGAAAGCACTCGACCAATCTTTTCATTACCACAAAACCTGTTCTGCTGGAAAATATCGTAAATAAACGAGATCAGTTCTTGTCCCTTTACTCCCCTATATTTATATTGATGCAATCGAAATACGGATGCAATATTGTTAAATATTATTAGAATATACCGCAAATTATAAATAATAAGTGTATCAAAATGGAACGGCACAAAGTCGTTGCTTAATTAGGATTGCACTGTCACTAAATAAAAAATTAAATAGTTATGCATAAAGCACACAACGAAGTTAAAGAAAAAGAAATCCTAATTGCTTTACAAAGAAGCGGCTGGTATGAAAAGATGGTTTTAAAAATCAACTTTCTAATATTATTCAGCATTTGGTGCCATTAGACCTTGCCATATTCTTTTCATGTGCAAATTAGATATCGATATTCCATTACACCCTGCCATGTTATGCAATTAGCGATTATTCATATATTTTCCTCTTATTTTTTCAATGATTATTGATTTATTTTTCCTTTGTTTTCAGAATGTTTAAAGCGAATCGAGGGTTGCAATCTCTATTTAGCAGTTTTAAAGATCTGAAGACATCGGATGAATTAAGAGTTAACGAAGCATTGGAAAAACACGCGGGAATAGTAATGGGAGTATTGGATGAATGTATATCAAATATAGACAATGTAGATTATATTCTGGATATTCTTACTAAAACGGGAGCTACACATAAAAACTTTCCTGGTTTCACAGCCGAATTTTTTTGGGTAGGTATTAAGTTACATTTTTTGTTTTATTATTCTAGTGAAACATTAATTAGCCAAAATGTATCCACGAAAACCGGTTAGCTTTTATGATCGATCTCAAGACACATGCCGGAAAGTTAATTAAATTTGACAATGTATTTATGATTCCAAAGAGCCAATTACATATCTACGTATTAGAATAGCCAATTATCAAAACCGACTTTTATTAATACACGTACCTCGCCTATCTTTTTACCCTTTGTTGTACACGTGCTTTGCCCAATTTTCTCAGAAGCACCTAACCTTGAAGCATAATTTTAAAGATCATTAGGTGTGATCGGAGACGGATATACATGGTTGGATAAGAAATAGAAGGCAAATTACTTTATATACACATGTAACTACATCTAGGCTCAGTGGGCGGGGGTGTGCATCAAATGGGCACAAAACCAGACCCAACTTTTCTATAGTAAAATTTTGCGTAGAATACGATGCCGAGTGGTAATCGTTCCACCGTTTGGGGTGTTTTCGAGATATTCCGGGTCAAATGAGGTCATTTGCACTGAAAGTGAATGTGCAGCCATTCTTGTATCATGCAAACCTGCTTAAAATGATCGAAAGTAATCACTCTTTCAATAAAAATGTAAACTTGCTAAATTCACCTTTCTTCTTTGTGACCCCGGAGGTCAAAAGGTCACATTTTCCGTTTTTGCACTAGGAAGATTTAAAGCAATAAAATATCTCGAAAACGCCCCAACGGCGGCTTGAGTACCTCTCGGCAACGTATTCTACGCAACAATTTACTGTAGAAAAGTTGGGTTTGGTTTTGTACCCATTTGATGGACCCCCTCCCCCCGCACTCAGCGCACTATCGAAAGTCTGGACACTATTGGGTAGTATTACTGTTATACTTTCCCAATCTAGAATTTCATTTACAATTTACTTAAATTTCTCTTTCGTTTTATGGACCCTTTTTTACCGTCTCTAGACCAGTCGGTGCCAGGTCCTGCCCTCAATCCTACACCGCGGACAAGGAGTAACCAGACTGGGAAATTTCGAGGAACTTTCTCAGCAAACATCGAGATCCCCTGCTATACTGACTGAGCCACCATGGCTTTCTTAACCCTTCTGCAAGCTGCATGACTTATAACCAGATGACCTAGAATTAAACAACCAAAAGCAACTAAGCCACTAGCAGTTGGTCGGAGTTTTATATGATGAAACGTCTATATAAATGTTCATTTTCCGGTGTGGTGCAGGGCAAGGGACACCGTATAGTCATTTGGACGGTCCCGTACACACATTGGAGTGCACGTATAGAACCCTTGACAATTGGAATTCGGAATAAGAGTAGGCCGTGGAGCCGCTGTCCGGCGTATGCCCGTCATCATTAGGCCAGTCGGAGCTGGACAGTGACAATGTATCATCACTATCGGGTACAACGAAGAAAAAATTGATATTTACTAACTACACGGGGGAAAAGGCTAATAATATGTTAGGTTGCTTGTCATCCATTTTGATTTTTAAAAAAAATAACAATATAAATCACAAATCCGACATTTTAATCCCTAATTTTTGCTGTTGTTCATAAAATTCTATGTGTCAAGATTGCGAAATTGATCACCCGTGTGCCAAGTTTGAATGTATTTAAATGTTAATCCGTTACCATTTAAAGGAATTACGATTCTCCTCCACACGTCGTTATATCACGTGACATTCAGTTCAGTGATTCACTATTAAAGATACATTATGTAAGATTTAGATAAAAAGCTTCCCGTTCTTGCAACAATAGTTTAAAAATAGATGATGGAAAATGAATATATTGAGCGAAGTTATCAGTGTTTGAAGTTTTGGCAAGATGTAGTGTAGAATGTTTATTATCGTAGCAACTGTTATTTCTTTTTTATTAAATCATTAAATTTCAATCGTGTTTCCATTTAAATCTCGACCATCCGATGTTCTAGAGAGATGGTTATAGGCTCTACATCTGAATAAATGTCTAACTAATAGTTTATATTTCATTTAAACACAAAACAGAGACATGCAGTAAGCAGATTTACTTTTACATAGTGCATCTTTAATTTATATCACGATTGAATCACTCCATTCCTATAATTGATTTATTTTTATTTTATTTTCAGGAAATAGAGACACCATTTTTAGAATCTGTAAAATTAACTCTAGGCGATCGTTATACGGACAATATGGACTCTATTTATAAAATAACAATAAAATTGATTCTGGAAAATTTGGTGAAAGGCATAAAAGAGTCGTGATAATCATATCTTGGATGGTGTTAATTAATCCAGGATTTGGTGCGGGGGAAAAGTTGAAATCCGGACATGTCTGACTAATTCTCCTCAGACAACGATATCAGATGCAACTTGTCGGTTCAGCATATCGGCAATATAGCATGGACTCCCACACAATACTCTGGGTTTGAGATGAATGAATTTATATACGGGAATAATAGATGTATATTATATATATATACTAAATATGAGTATTTATTTATAGTGACTGTCTCAAAATATTTTGAAATATTTATTTAAATTGAATATAATAGTTTTTTAATGGAAAGGATTTCGTTTCGTTCTATCATATCATGTACACTGTTTGTGATATTTCTTTTCGTGTGGAAATTGGCCAGCGTGTAATCTGGCGTAGACTTTGTAATATTTCACTGGATGAGTTCGATTCGTGTTTTGAAACATAACTGATAAATTAACAAAATTAGAAAAATATTTAGAAATTAATCGACCCCTGTCATTTGTATAAAAGTAAATGTATTATAATGTGCTGTGTGGAATATTTGGACCAGGAACTGCCTGAAAGCGCTGCTCATCTTGTTGTTCTTCCCTTTTGTGGTGACACTCTTCGGAAGAACCCAAGGCTCCACCAATTTGAGTGCGATCGACATGAAACTTGGCATTATATTGTTTCTTGGACAATTGCGCATCAATATTTGACGTCTCAATTCTGAGATGGCTGTAATAAACTCGATGCTCAGTTCCTGGTCCATATTATACGCCCATACTTCTTATTAATATTATGTATCTTTGTTTTATAATTTGACGTCCATAACCTCTTTGTATGTGATCACATAAGGTGGGTGAGCTTGTTACGTCTTTCTACATTCTCCCGTGAAAGGTACCATATGGCAGTTTGATGTTTTCATCATTTGTCCCGGACTGTAACATGAAGTCATTGAACGATATACCTAACATTTATGTGTGGAAAACGTAAATCGGGCTTGGCGATGGGATTCTTTCTTTGGAAATATTAATTATCTCTGAATATACTTTTATTTATATGTTAATGATGTGCATTGTATAATATTGCAAGAAAAATTTCAATATGTCATTTTTGTAAAGATTTAGATATAAAGTAGGAGAAAGTGGTTCAATAGCCAAATATCGTGTTTAATTATATTTGACAACACCAAGCCACGGCTAAGCTAACAATAGTTGATCTTGGGTGTGTTTTCCAAGCATTTCAGTATGTTTGGGTCTATACCATAGAGTTCATGAAATTATCCTTTCGTACACATCAGATTGAAAGTCATGCTAGAGTTCGAGTTAAATCTAGAGCTCAATACAGCTTCGTCCAATACAGTACATGTTGTCCAGTCAACCCTTTTCTTTGTTGACCCAGTACAGCATAATGTGTTGATGTAAGTAAAGTTAAGTTAAAGTTGAGAGTTATAGAATTATGGACAAACTATGTAGAGCAAAACAGAGCCCAGCTTAAGTAATGTTTACACGATTTTAATACGATTTTTTCATACGGTTATTTCATTTATAATAATGGATAATTACTACATTAGTGATTTTTCCAAATTGAGACATTCAATTCTTGAATAGGTGATTACGACATCCATTGATTCCCTTAATAGATTTTGTATACTTTGTTTAAATAATACTCCATCAACTTGTTAATATATCAACATTGATTGAATAGATTGTACAACTTTTATATATAATCTTGTTTACTTCATAATGACAGATATTATAGTTTGTTAATGCTTTTTATTTGATGCATAATAGAGCATAATGCATGAGGTCCACTTTAACTTTTAATAATTGCATTCGTTTGAATTGCTAGCAGTCTTGTGTATATATCTGTGTACAGTGCACTTAGCTGGTTAAAGCAACATTATCGCAGACTATTATAGTCTTTGCAACCATATTCAAAACCATACCGGTTTAGAAATTATTCCCATGATCAATTCTAAAGAAGTATATTATGGCCATCTTAAAGTTACCATTTCTGTCTATTGATTCCATGCCGCCATCTTGGTTTTCTCTAAGCAATTATTGCAGTCGGTCAATTCTGACCGAAGTGTGTTTTGGTTATCTAAAGTTTAATACTGTCTATTGATTTCATGTCGCCATTTTGTTTTTCTCTACACCCGTTAGCGGACATCTGAACCAAGTTTCATGTCTGGTCATCTACACCCGTTAGCGGACATCTGAAACAAGTTCCATGTCTGGCCATAAATAACGAGCTAAAGATAGCATTTATTCTATTTTATTTATTTTAATCTTTATTATATTACTATCTAGAGGGATTAAAATTCTCATTTGTTACACCAACCGTGCTAATAAACATGGGTTGTGACTTGACATGACAGATGTAGATGGAATTTACACATAATTCTGATGATGAATGCTAATCTAATAGAATTTTGGCATAATTCGACGTAAACTTCAAATGATAGATCCGTCAATTTACTGAGGCATCTCTCTAAGTTTTCAGAATGATTTCAAACATTGTTTTGATATAGCTAAAACCGCATTTGTTGTATTACCTATATGGATCCCGTACATTAATTTAATTTGATTGACACATACAATCGAACGAAACTGACACTGTCTTAATACTTAAACAGTTTGATTCAGAATGAGAAAGTACACCTATTATAATAACTGTTTCTGTTTAGACTGCATTATAATATCTGAATGGAACACAGCCCTCTACGAAGTGGTAAACTGGCGTGTTCGTGGTCATTAATGGAATAAATTGGTTTTATTGTTGCCATTATTGGGGTACTTGCAGACGAAAATATCTCGTGTTAATAATTAATTAGCCACACGCACAAATTTGGATGACTAAGTTCAGAGAATGGGTAGGTTAATGGAAAAATGCAGTCACGCATATGCATTTATATGGTTAGACCTTGGTCTACCACTTCTTTGTCCACAATAACCGTCGCTGCAACATCTATTCATTCAATGTTTCAATGTACATTAAATATATCTGCCCTAGCGCTGTTTTATGAACGGGTTTAATCACAATATTGATGTAATCAGTTGACTACAGGGCGTTTCCTGATTCCATACCGATTACTAACACATAGACTCACGCCATGCATGGCTATAAGTGTTAAACATTAGTTCAATGTTTCTTTTCAATCCATAGTTTGTAATTAAATCATTCCGATGATAAAGCCATTAGACTTGTTTTCGTAAAAGTTTGTATGTGCCAGGAGCTATTACTTGTACACACCATGCCGCATTGCTTAGGATGATAGCAGCATATAAAACCAAGGACGTAACGTCTTCATATTAACTTAGATTTTTAAGGGCTTCGGGAAATCAAGACAATGATTTATCTCATTAAATATTACTGATTCGAAGATGGTAAATTAGGACGCTACGTATTTCCCTAACAGAAAGAACAACCCAGGCATTATATATCATTTTGTGGTCGGATTTCGAAGCTTTCGCGTGTAGGTCAGATGGGAAAAGATTATGAATTAATTCTCATAAGGAGGATGGAGGGTAAATCCATCGTAATAACACAATTCTGATCTCCATCTTTTACAAGGCGAAAGATTCAACTTGTATAAAGTACAATAGTTCTTAGAGGACAAACATCATTTACATTACAGCTAATATACATGTAAAAGTTTCGAAACCCAGCGACAGATTGCTTACTGATTGGAGTTTAACGTCCGATTCGGTGGTGTTGATTTGGACAGATTGATCGAGATCTTTTAGGTTTTATCAGAGGATATTTAAAGTCGGTAACCTGTCTAAAGTTTTAACATACATGTACATTGTTTATAAAGACGAAGTTTTGTTTGTGAAATAAGATTCCGCGATTTTCCCTTTTTTAAAATACATAGTGTATTTTACATATTGATATTACAAGTGGGAGTTTCCTCCCACTGATAAGCCACCTTGTCCCAGCGAGTAAGGGGTTGGCTTACTAAACAGAAGGTCTCGAAGTTGATGAGCCAAAACAAACAAGGTCCCGTGTACACACTATAAAAGAAACCCTGGCATTTGGAATTTTATCAGAGCAATAATTCACTCGTATGGTTTGATCGTATTCATTACATTAAAGTATAACGTGTTAAACCCATTTTAATTTACTTCATTGTCCTTCCACTGTTAAAGGCTCACCTGTACAAGCGAGAAGTTGAACTATCGATATACTATAATATGTAAGTTTCGATATGTTAGAGCTTGTTAATCCCCAAACATGTGAAAAGACAAAATGGTCTCACATATAAATATAAGCAATATATATTTTAATAATTGTTGGTATATTCATTAAAACTAGCTTTTTAACAGTGGTTCTTGGTATACGTTTTATGACAAATGTCATTCGAAGAGAAACAGAAAGAAATTTGACCTTACAAAGAAAACAAATAGTCTCAAGAATACATCTTTACTAATTCGAAATAATTTTTTTATGTCTTTAGGTTACGTACATCTTTTTGTTTCAATTTCCAGAATTAATGTCGAATTATCTTGACATTAGTAACTAATTAATGAAAAGACTTTATTTAAAAAGAATTCTCCATACAAGTGCTTCGTTTGACATTTCTGTATGACATTAAAGAGTTCCTATTGACATTTCTATGTCAACCTAAGATGTTAAGTTTAATTTGCTGATCAAGCTCTCGGTATAACCCCCGTTCAATAAATTAAATGACACATATTTTCAAATGAAATTGACATAACACTTAAAATTGCATCAGAGAGTCTGCATTATACTATCTCAATGGAATACCAGCCTCTCTACGAAGAGGAAAATTGGCGTGTTCGTGGACATTAAAGGAATAAATTGTTTTAGCAAATAAGGCCCGTCAGTTCATACACGTTAAAAAGTAATTTTCTTTTTTTTTTTATAAACAATATTTTTTTTCAGATTTATCTAAAACAAGACTGGTTGTAAAATCTTTTGATTTCTTTGTCTTAGAACGTCGACCAGCTATGGAAGAACGGACATTGGTGTGCATGTAAAAGTCCGAACAATATTTCACTCATATTCACTCATAGCGTATTATCACCTGCATTATTGTCTAAAGAACACCTCTCAGCGCTTATTTTTCTCGAATTAATTACTGACAATCATTGTTCGCGTTTGGAGCTTTGATAATAGAAAATCGTAGAGACCAAGCACAACAAACGCTGAAATTCATAGGATAAAAATTGTCCGATCAGAAGCCTAAAACTACCCAGATTTTCAAAGTAAAAAATTATTAAAGTTTGTTAAAATTACCTGAATGAAAGGCTGCCTGTATCTTACCTGTCTTCAAAAAGGGTTTATTATCTAGCCGTCCGAGAAGGTTATCTTAAAATTACCTACCTACACACTGTTTTTGGTAATGGCCATCTCAGAAAGAGGATGCGCATCTGCTATGAATTGTAACCTCTGCAATGGACCGTAGAATATACACAAGCTGGTTTGGCTCATAGATGCATGTGGACGCTACGTTTTTTCTGGTTCAACGTCACCGGAAATTTTAAGCTAACTTATCGTTCGCCACGTGTATATACTCTACTAAATGAATACGACATTAGGATTTATCTACAATAAAGAAAATATGTAACGAGCGCCACTACAGAAAATCAGTCATTTTAGTAACAATTAAATTGGAATTTAATATATAATAATATCTTGTATTTTGTGTTCATGTTTTATTGTTAACTTTTTGCGGAAATTATTCTTATATAGATGATATTGTATGTATATAAACCACACATGTATATAGTGAATTTTTATTAGTTAAATGTTAAAGGTAACCTATTGTATGTTTTTGTTTTGCTACTACTACTAAAAAAAATTAATAAATATTATTATTATTATTATAATAATAAATAATGCATACTGTTCTATAGTTTATTCTCGAAAAGCCCAGTCTCTTAAATTATGAACTCGCCTGAGTTTGTAATACCAATAGGCAAAAATTCAGTAGTCAAATCGATATGTAAGATCATTTTCACGCGTTACATGCTTCGTCTGCTCGCTCATTTTATAAGACACGCTATATAGTTAGTCAGAATGTTCAGAAATTTCATCACCCCATATGCATTCGAAGAAAATGGTTGTTTCCACATATTAAATAGCAAACTAACATTTCACTTAAGCCCGTAGCTGGTGGTAGTGGCGGGGGCGGG